TCACCCATTGGGGGAGATGGGCGGCATATAAATTTGAAAAATAAATAAATACATACATACATACATACATACATACATACATAAATAAATAAATAAAACAATCTACATGCATGATGCCAAAATAGGCCATTGCCTTTTGCATGAATGTTTTAAAAAACATTAAAAGGTGGCTAGAACCATCATTATTTATTTAATTTGTACCCAACAACTCTGGGCGGTTAATGCCATTCAAGATCAGAACAATCACCTGCAGAAAAGAATGTTTAAAACTCCCCCCCAAACCTTAATTGCTGTTTGGCATGGGACGGTGATTTCCACTGGTGCCCAGGATGGGTGAGGGTGGGGGATTATGATCAGAACTGTGGCTGAACAGAGAAAGTCCTTCGTTCTTTTTCAACAGATGAGAAAGGACTTTTCTTTATTCATTTGTTGTACTTTAATGCCACTGTAAACTGTAAGGATTCCCAATAGTTTAAATGAGACATAAACATGAACAATATGTATTTTAAAACCGTAACAATATTTTTTAAAAAGAATAAAATAATTCCCGATAGTAAAACTACAGTGATTCATCTGGTAAAATTTCTGTAGCTGATTTTCTTTATATAAATATTTTTATTTCTTTTAATTGTCACTGTTATCATTATATTTATTTTCGTTGTTCAGAAAAGCGTGCGCACACATGCACACATAATCCCAACTGCCACAGTTCTCTGATAAGCTGTTGTGCTTACTGCTCTTCATCTTTGAGACCGTTTAATGTGCCGCAGTTAAAACTGTGGAATTGTGGAAAGAAGTCACTCCTTCTAATATGGATTCCAGCCAACCATGATGTTTGGCTGCACTCTGTTGGAAGGAAAATAGATTTTTTCTCAGAGCAACATTTATATTAACACAGGTTTTCCCAATTTATATACATGCCATGAAGCTACTATAAGTTGATTCATTTATGCAAGAACGGTGCCTGAAATAGAATATACGAGGTTCACAGTTAAAATAACCCCTTTTCAAATATTTTCTTTTCTATGGATTCTCTTCTATAACAGAAAGGCACTGAATGAATGAGTGAATATACTCTACTAACCTGCCCAGCAAAGATTCCACAGACACCAATAATGCAGAGGATATTGAAAACGGCAGAACCGACAATGGTTCCAACTCCTACATCACCATGAGTAATAAATACACCTGGAGAGATAGACAGAGAAAGAAAGAGGGGTAAGAGCTATAGCTTTTGCTGGGATTAAGAGAATTAAGAAATGTATGACGTGTGTCTCACATCCAATCATAAGGGCAGTTAATGCAATCAATTCTGTAGAAAAGCAGTGAGCTTCCCTAGTGAGGTAGACATTTGTCCAGAAGGCTTTAATGGGGATTCCAGCACTGAATTGGGTTAAGTGGCCTTTCTAACTCTATGATTCCATGAGAAGATAACCTTCTATCTGAAAAAGTGAAAGGAGCATTAGCATGCTGTGGAAGCGACTGGCAATCTCAGAGGCCCTCCCAAGAAACTTGCATCTCTATCAGGCCTGCATATACAGTGTGCTCTTTCCACTGCTAGTTACAAGGAAAGCTTTTTAAAGCTTCACTGAACATGGGGGAAAGGGGACATCACCACTGGGGATCATACTATCCCCATGACTTCTGGGTTGGGTAGGTGCAATGAGTATGGAACTGCAACTTCCCACACCTCCCTCCCCCTCCCCCTGCCCCAACTATTGTTCGGTTCCATTAGTACCAGGGAAACTGTTTCTAAGCCTAACTACTTCACTGGGACCAGGATGAAGTGGAGGCATTTTTGTGTGTACAAGTATATGTTTGCACATGTATGTGGTTTGCATGGCTTCATTTGCGCTGGAATTTTGTTTGTAACTGGTGTCTGCTAGATAATGAATCCATCAAGATTACACTAACAGCAGAAAACCTGGGTTTCAGATGGCATGGCCCTTGCTGGTATCAGGATAGGCAGGGGAGAGTATATGAGTATATGATCTATGGAGACTAGATGGGCTATGTAGGCAATACCAGGCAAATGCATACTTAGTGGAGAGGTACACAAGTCAATAATTATGATTTTTAACATGACAGACAGGGGAAATTACTACAGGCAGTAATCATATTAGCAGTATTTAATGTTAATTAGACAGACATGAAATCAAATATAATTCTTTTCCTGATCTCACTCACCCCCAGTAAACCCTGCCAAGGTGTGTTTTAGTGGAAGATGCTGATGACACCTAACAGAATCCAAAATAGTGTAGCCACTGGAACAGTTCTGAAAATCACACTGAATTAACTATAGAATAGCCATTCTTGTGGTCTGCCTATGGGAAGAATTTGCATATCTTGTATATTCACTTACCTATGACTGATGCAAATAACTCGGGGGTTGAACTTCCAGCAGCCATAAATGTGGCTCCTGCGACATCTTCGCTCAGATGTAGTTTCTGGGGGAAAATAAAGAGAGGAATTCATCATTTCACTACTCTTTAGCTATAGCCCAGCTTAAAGAATGAGTACACCTGATGAAGAAGGGGCAGCAAAGCCAAGTAGCTTATTTTGAGCTTTAAACAGTTTTCAGAAGTGGAGCTCAACATATAGGAGCAAGCTATCTATAGGGCCATACGATAATAGAGGGCTTATTTTGTCAGCCGGCATCCCTGAAAGGTTTTTCTCCTAGCATTGTCAACAGCAAACAAACTGATTTAGAAGAATGAACATTTTTTTCACTTACCTCACAAATTTTTTCTAAAGATGGAACAAAGAAATCGTCACATACAATAGCCAAGGCATAAAACATATACAGAGCCTGTAGAAAAAACACATAGTACATATATACATTAAGGTATTACAAAATAACCTAGTCACAAGTAATATAGGGCAAGAAAATATTGGTATCCCCATGCAGTCTTTTGCATCCTATCGTATCTTCAGTCTAGACGTTTCTTGAAAGTACCCCACCTCCAATGTTAGATTGCTGAATGGAAAGCAAAGGTCTGGTGTGTTATGTTATTATACTGCCTTTCTAATCAGAAAAGTTCCTCAGGGATGTTGATAGTTTCTTTATTTCTTTTTTTTTTAAAAGCAAAGGTAAAATACCAGAAATATAAATCAAAAATCTTTCAGGAGCAGCAATAAAATAGAGCCACTTTTAAACATTTGAAGCAGACCTTAAGGGCCACTGAAGTGGGCAATGCTTGGATACCCAGAGGCCACAGCTCATATACTGGAAGGAGTGATATGCAAAGTAGGTTGAGGCAAGGCAATTCAATGAGGAAAGAACTTCCATTGGATGGGTTTGCCCTGAATGGGCCTTGTTCCCCCTGCCCCCCCCCCTTCTTTTCAACCTGATGGATCCAGCCAGCAAAACAGAAAGTCAGTTCAAATACATGCAGTGCAGAGAATCCATTTCAGGCTTTAGAGGAATAACCAGTAATATGAGTTGAGCCCGGAAGCAGCATTTGCACCAGTTGAAGGTTCTGAACTGTCTTCCAATTTATTAAAGTATGCTGTAGATACATACTATA